GGACCAGTAAATCACTCTCAGAAATATTGTTTAAGCCTTGCATACGGTGTTAACTAGCAGGAAAAGTACATTTTTAAAAAAGAGATTCCAACAATGCAACAATTAATCCAATTTCCTGGAAGAACTCAGGTGACCACTGTGTTTTTTCAGGGTTCAGATCAGCCATACATATATTGGCAGTACAATAATAACACTGTTACTGCACGTTAATAAAATAAAAATAACTAGAATATACTGTCCAGTGAGATGCTAACACACAAGTTAAAAGTGCTCCAGAGACTTAATCCTTTTATAATTTTGTGCACAATTGTGTGTGCATGCCTGGATAAGACACTGGAAATGCTGCTCTTGAAAGACATGAGACTATTAACGTGTGCAGACATTGTAGTTGTCTCCTGGAGTGCTGGTGCCCCATCCATTTACCAGCCCAGCTGTCTCACAAGGTAAAAATAAAATGGTGCTTTCAGATTAACAGGCTGTAATCGACTCARGAGCAGGGCTGGGCTCTGCTGAGCTGGGCTTGGGAGTCTAAAGCTGGATTAGGAGAGCAACACGTAAAATAGCATAAGCGCCCTAAATTCTTCCCTAGAAAACTGTCTCCAAATATTCACAAAAGAGAATAAAAATAAGTGAGCTTTCAAATAGTCTATACTATTTCTCTATTTTATAGCTCACTGCAGTTTCTTTTAATTACCTTGCAATTTAAATCRATGGCATCCTAGAGCTGGCTCCCCTTAAAAAATGTCTTCTTGCAAACTTTGATTAGCTCCAGAGAAAAGAGGGTAGATGACTTTAAATGGCACAGAGGTGGATTTATTGGCAAGTGTGTCAGGTTTGCACTTAGGAAGGAATTGGCAGATAGCAGAAAATGGCTGGACGGGATTCAAACTCCAAGGACTTGGAGCTGAAAAAGGATTTATTTGAACAGCAAAGTATTGCACTGTATTTGCTGCAGTTAAAATTATTAAAAGCTTTTAACAAAAAAACACCAAGAAATTAAACTTCCAGTGAAAGGCAAGCAACTGCATTGCTTCAAAGGTATTGTCACCGGGATATTTATTGCTTTCCTCCCTCACTGTGTCATTTACTGCCCCCAGCAATAGGAAAGTGTATTGATCTCCTTGATCAGGTGTATGTTCAAAAGCCAGATTAAACCTGAAGCTACACAAAATTACTGAGCATTCAGAAAATAAAATGCTTTATTTTTGTCTTAAATCAACTCTAGGAAAAAAAAAATAGTCTATTCTCTGCACGTGAAAGGTAGAGAGCCTGTAGTTCCAGAAAAAGCAGTGTCAAAGGAGCATGAGCTGCGTCACATGGACAGACAAGAGGCTTGGCCTTGGTCTGCAGCAACAAAACCAGGGGGTACCAGCTGACTGGCAGCTGACACTAGAACTTTATTTAGGTTTSTGGGGATTTTCTTTGTCTCAAGTGTGACGTTTTCTGCAAAAAGTGTAAAAAATTTGCTTATGACAGTGCTTGTTGCCACACTGAAGCCTTGTTTACACTGGTGACCCCCACACTGGCAATGGACCAGTGGGAGCTGCAACAGAAATTGCTTCCAAAAAGTAAAAACCACTGCTTTGCTCCTGGACTGGTGCTAAGCCCTGCTTAGGGATGGCCTGGCTGGCCTCCAGGGTCCCTGCAACCAGTTTTCCTGAAACATTCTGCAAAGGAGTGTTTCAACCCCAGGCTTTGGATGATAAAAAGGTAGGGTAGTGAGAAAAAGGAAAAGAGAGGAGAATTTGAATCTCAGTCACAGTCTCTGAACTGCAGCTTTGTACCATCACATCTGTGTGAGACMCTTTTACGGAATTTCTCTGATTCCATTATTCAATTCTAACTAGGTGATGGGACATTCTAGTCTTTTACAATAGTACATAAATACCCCAAATCACATTTAGCAGCTGCTTTTTCTTATAGCAACACTTTTTTTTTTTTTTTTACCTTACTACTTATCAGTGTTGTGTGTGCAGGAAACGGAGTGAGCCATTTTCCTACTTTGTTAAGCACAGATACAGCTTTTGCTTTCACTTTTTATGGACTAAAGCTAAAAGATGCCTTCCTCAGAATGCTGAAATGACCACATTTCAAGTCTAGCAGCAGCTGATCTCAGCAGCCAGCATGTGGCTCACCTACAAACATGAAACTGAGACACCAAAAGAACACGGGTAAAGAAAGCTGTGCCATTTGGAAAAGCTCATGCCTAAGGAAGTTGAGGGTGCTCCAGACTGAGGTACCTCAGATGGAAGCTGAATGTGGAATGACAWAACCAAATGGAGTGGAAGGGAGAAGTTCAAGTCTCCAGGACACTTCCACCACTTTCCCTTTGCTCCACTGAATTCTGCTTTAAGTTCCCTACAAAGTGCTTGAGCATCAGCATGGCTTGGACCATGATCTGAACTGGCACAACAGCAGAGATGCTTAGCAAAATTCAAGCCAAACAGGAGGCATGGGCATTTTTTAATTCTTATCTCCTTTGGCCAATCTAAGGAACCCTGGATAAGAACAAACTGTCATACCCATCAGCAGAAGACCTATCACCTATAAATATCTCCTACAGTGGTGTAAGTGCACAGGGAGATCCATGTATGGAACACTTAGCTCACATACCTCCTTCCAATTTTCTTCTTGCTGATTTCATGTTATTCTAGATTAAAATGGGAAGCTTCTGCAAAGTAGCTTCTGAATGATGTTTCTGGGTTCAGCAGCAGAAATCATAATTCATCCCATCGTTTCTAATGCTTACATAAAAAAGTCAATAAAATTTAAAAAAATAAAAGGAGGAAAGCTTCCTTTTGTACTCAACAGGAGCAGCAGTATCATGTTTTATACCACCTCTGGTACTACTATGTCAAAAAAATTGCCTAACAAAGCACAAGTAGAGAAGTATGTTATTGTCATTTTTCAGGATTTCTTGAAGGTTTGTCAATAAGATATTAGAAATCCACCCAAGTCTGAAAACCAAGTTATTTTTACACTCAAATTTCTAGTTTCTACTTGGGAACTGCAGAATGGTCAGCATCACAAAGTCATACACTGAAGCCCAAACCTTGCATATTTCGCCACATTGTATATATCTGTATATTTATATATCTACATATCTATATATCTATATCAACATAGTGCCACCAAGACTCCATGGAATGTGTCTGCTTGTTTAGAAAAAAAGAGACTTTCTTTTTTACTGAAACTTGCCTGCAGACTCAGGTCTTCTTCAGTATTCCTCACCAAGAAAAATTAYGGCAATTTCATAAAAAGTGGAGAAAATCCTACAATGTGACAGATCAGCTATAAAAGCAAACACTGAAATGAGGACAACCTTTAAGCCATCAGAATTTTCTTCATGAGACCAGATTTTTTTCTCTGTCATACTCAGCACGGGGAGATTTTCATTTTTCAGAGCTATATGGAATTTGACAAGTAAACCTACTACAGTTAATAGCATTTTAATCTTTATGCATAACAATCACAAACCTACATTGTACAGGTTTGATAATAGTAGCTGACAGCTGGATTTGAAGTATACATTCCGTTCTGAAATAGATGCGCGTGTAGGTGGATGTGTTGTAGAAATACAATGTACTACACGGCTGAGCCTAGATAAGCTGCTGATCCTCAAACATCAGCAGCACCTGCACGAAGCTGGGGTAGAAATCTGCTCCTTTAAATACCTGTTCATCCTTCTTATGACACTTTCTTTAAAGAGCTCAGTGAGTAGTACATAAAATAAGTATCTAACGAGGTATGACAGAAACTCTGAGCTAAACAGCAGAGAGCTGAATTCTAATAAATAAATGAAGCAAAACATTTACYGCCAGCAACTATGTCAAGTTAGACATAGGAAACTGTAGCTATGCAGCTGGAGAAGGGCAATACTCTGCAAGCCAGAAAAGTGATGGAACTCCTCCAGCTTTGATTATTTATGGTGTGATGATGAAGGAACAACTTTCCATGTGAGGAACAGCTTTAAAGTTGAACAGTGAAGCTGAAAGAGAGATTTAATGAAAAATCAGAGGGGAACAAAACTACAGCTACAAAAACAATAACATTCGGTTTAACAATTTAAAATTATAATTTGTGTGCAAAACCAGATGTTAACTTGTCCAGCTTTAAGGTGAACAGCAAATTGTATTCATAACAACCCTTCTGCTGGACAGCAAACGCACACTACTCAATGTTGGTGTATACAAGGYTCACTTTGGACCTCCAAATCTTATCAAAATGAACAMAAATGCAAAACAAACRCATWTTAAACAAAGGACGCATCTGTATTTAATGCAAAGCTATTTTCAAAAAATCCCAACCTTTCATAATCCACCATAATCGTAATAGCCTGAAACATAAGAATGCTTTCAGGCTCAGAAAAAAAGGCTTCTAATTTTAAACATTTATGARGACACTGAGAAGTGGCTTAGGACCATGCTCTAAAACATGTTTTCAGGCTTTAAACTGCTGAAAGCTGAGACTCCCTTGCCCATTTGGCCTGGAGAGGGAGAGAAGTACAAAAATATGATGAAAAGACTGCACATGAAAGTTTCTACTGAAAAATGCAATTGACTCCTTCATTCCAGCCCCTTCTTCCCATCATCACTGCACCTCCCCCTCCAGGGAACGTGCACCTCTTGCCTGATGACCACCCCCAAACCACTCATCTAATATCATTGGCTCTGATGCACCACTGTTTTTAACAAATACTTTTTGAAAATATTTTTAAAGGGCCACTCTGCCACTGCTGATGCTGTTCCTGAACAGGAGAAATTCTGGTATTCCACTGATGTCAGCTGACTTTAAACTATACCTTGGGGTGGGTGATTTAATGTTGGTTCCAAAAAAAGAACATGATTAAACCTTTTAAATGGTTTTTCCCATTTATAAAATGCTTTATGCTGGGAATGAACTTCCCTTTGACACAGTGTAACTATGGGAAAGAGGGATTGTTCTCACATTTCTGTTTCATGGAAAATACACCGTTGTTTGATAAAAGGATTAAGTTGCAGGGGTAAAAAGCGCTGCTAAATGCAGCACACTCTACTAACTCAAATMCAGCCTCAGTCTGATATGAAACACTGACTTTAAAAATAGCTATTACTTTCAAAATATKCCAGTGAAAATAAATATGAATATATTGTAGGCATTAAAAGATGAATGTGTCAAGAATAAGAACAAGTATTACTTTTAAGATAATTCAGAATAAAAACAACTCCAATAACTGAAAGCAAAGAAACAGTCACAAATATTAATTTATAGCAACAGATAGTAGGAAGGAAATTTTGAAAATCCATGGGAATTCTTCTACGTTACCGGGCACCTGTACAGTTCTGTGAGCRTTTTCTTTTTGTCTTTTATTATTTTTGATTCCTGCCTTATAGTTCAGCTTCAGGGCACAGCAGCACACAACAAGAAATTGCATTCRAAACTATTAGGTCATCAAAATTGCCTTTACTGTTTAAAAACAAAACACATAAACAAAATATTGCAACAGCTTCTGGAATCCCACTCAGAAAGCCCAACATTTTTAGATCTTTGCTCAYGTTTTCATCACTGTAATTTTTGCAAAACACTGAGAGGCGACCCAGGCCATTTTCGGAATGACTCTTTCATCATTGCAACCCCTCAATTACAGCTGACCACAAGAAGGAATGAATAGAGTAGTACTGTAGGGACAGTACTGGAATATTTTTCAGCTTGCCCTCTGATGTGCTCTGACTTCTGTTGGAGAGTGATGTTATGATTTCTTAGACTGCCTCCATTATTGCTCACAAAATAATTCAGAGKTACATAAGACTTTAAGAAGTTTAAACACCAAATTCAAACTAGATTCAACGGTTTCAATGACCTTTCCATTAAAACTGAGCTCCAGAACTCCACCCCTTACAGCTGGACAGGACYTGCTGGAGATGTGCTGGGCTCCATCTTAATGGGCGGCAACTCACCTTCAACCCAAAAAGCTACAGGCAAATAAATACGTGTACAATTTTCACTTCTAAAATGCAAAGATTTTTGCTGTTACCAGGCCAGAACAACAAAAAGAACTGCAAGCAATGAACACAGCTGAAAACATTGAAATCTAGAAAACGAGAATTAAAAGTTCTTAAATTATAGGTTATAGAGCTCCTGAATGCCAACGGCATAAGCGCACATTCCAATGATCAAGAGAACTGCATGGAAATATGCGTTTACCACAAAATCTGGAAGCATAGYTGGGATCTGACTTCCAGTCAAGTTTGTAATTTCATTCAAGATAGAGATTATTTAATATAAATTGATTCATTTCTGTGTGTACAGTATAATTTAATTTGCAAATCTTTTTCCTTGACGTTAACCATTAGTATTGAGTATTTGCTGTTATTAAGTTGCTTAAGCATGATTTTTAAGTACAATGATTCATAATCAGCTTCCATGTACCCATCTGGAATCATACTGAATAAGTACATTTTTAGTCATCAAAAAAGGTTAGTATAATTTTTTTTTAAATCCCCAACAAACCCAACTAACAAACCTTTGAAATTATACATCTGTTGAGTTAGTTTCACAAGACAGTGAAAAAACAATTTGGTAAGGTAGTTAATGTTTTTCATAGCATTGTAGAATTGAGCCTCAATAGTCAGCATTATCAGGAAGTTCAATAATTCCTTGTTTTGATACCAAAGTAAAAATTGTCCATAAAGTGGAAGGGTCTTCACAATTATGATGACTCTTCCAATGATTACAAAGATCCTCTTTTCTTCCAAATAACTGTTTGCATAAAATGCAGTTATAGCCTGCTTTAGACCAAAATTCCATTTTTTTGCTTGGTGTGCYAAACCTCACATTTTGCATCACCTTGGAGGCTTCGTCGCTTCCTGACTGAGTCGGCTCACTTTTAGGTAAAATACGGACGTTATTTTGATGGTGGAAGTATATCTGTTTCTTCAGTTTTGGAAAAGCACACGGCTCYTCCTGACGGGCGCTGCACTTTGCTGAATGCCTTCTCTCGCTGCGCTGTTTCCACGGGTGGGCTGTGTGTTTGACCAGCTCCTCCTTCGCTCCTCTGCTTCCTGGCAAAACCCCTTCCTTCACTCTTCCCTGAATCTCTTCTCCATGACAGCACAATAAGTGAAACTTCATTTCACCAAAAGACTGTGCAATAAACTGGCATCGACCACATTTGACCTGTAATTTCACTCCTCCCGGGTTATGGAATAGGTCTTCAAAATTGCACTTATTTCCCCTGTTAAAAAAAGGAAATACAAACTATTTCAGTATTAGCAGGGCAGAGAAGAGGGATGGCAATTTCTGTTCTTGTAAGYTGCAAGAAGAGATGGAAGTCATAAAATGCTTTTCATTAAAAATGAGCATTGTTTCTAGAGTATCTAATGCACTTGGAAGAGGAAAAAAATAAAAAAGAAATTAAATAAGTAATAGTAAGGCTGTTTAGGAAAAAACTGAAACCAAATGACACTTCTGAGTTTAAGAACTGCTGTCCAAAATCACCCTTGATAGAAATAAGCTTTTAACAACATCAGCCTAATAAAGGGTTGATAACATTTTTTAAAGTTCCTGATTCAATGAGGTTAATCCAAATACTTCTAGTGCAGTGCTAGAAAAGTGAAAATGACTATTACCTGTAATGTGATACATTACTACTTGCTTACAGGGAGTGATCTAAGGTCAATTTGAGGCAAAGTCACCTCCATTTTCACTATGAAATTTCAAAGTTTCTTGCTTTTTTTTTCCTAAAAGACTATAACATCAAGGTTTAGGAAAGTTTAAGTATCTAATTTGCAATCAGACAGCCCCTCTCCCTGATTTAGGACAGCTCTGCAGTGCAAAGGATACACAGGCAGTTCTTGGYAATGTTAAGCCAATCCAAGCAAGATCTCCTCAGACGTTTTTTCATAACATCCACGAAAAGGACCTCATAACACTGTGTATTTGTACATTTTAGACAGATTACCCAACAAAACAGATAAACAGAATGATTCACTGTATGAAAGCTCCGAAGACTGATAGAAAAGTACTGGTGTTTCTTAGGCTCAAGACCTTAAAAATTTCAAACCGATGCTCCAGAGAGTGGAGCTATGCAAAGCAAAATGAGTAAAATGGAATTGTAGTGCTGCAGTGAGGAGTTACATTAAAGTCCTGAGTGTTCTTCAGTGAAAATAAATGCACTGTGGAAGAAACAAAAAAGGCAGCATTTACACTGAATCAAGAGATTTCACCTCAAAATCATAATACAGAAGTAAAAAAAAAGTTCTATCCATCTTAATATGGTGAATGGTAATTTTTCTACTTGGCTGAGTGATCACAAAAGCAGCAGTAAGCACAGACAGATTAGCTAACAGCTATCCCTAAAAGGAAATGGGATAATGATATTTAACAGGGAAAACAAACAAAAATCTAATACTGAAATATGAATTGTTTTTTGCTTACTGCAACTGGTTCCCTTACCTTTTAGGAAAAACCCCAAAGTGGGCAAGACAGAAGAGCACGCAGACTAACAGAGTGCTAACCACGAGAAACCAACTGACTCAAATATGGCAGTGTACTGGGTGTGACCAGAGCATATGCAAAATTACTTTGGATGTTCAAGTGTCRATAATGATTCATAGTCAATAAATTAGCCAAAATATACTGGTTGGTCTWATGGATTTGCTACATTCAAATGGAATATTTAAACTATTAGGAATCTCACTTGGTGAAAAAAAGCAACAATTTTCGTAATGGTGAGGTTTTTAAATTTCCACTGACAACTTGAAATCCAATTTTCATTAGCATTTAATTAGTGAAAACTCTCACCTCTCTGTAGTTTCTCCTGCTTCTTTTATATTCCTGCCTCTCTTCTTTGAAGTATCTTGCACCTCTTGCTCGCTGGTAGAATGGTCTGTGCTGATAACAACCCTGTGCACTTCTCTGAGGTGGCCAAAATACACTTTCGCATGGCCAAAAACTTTGGCACAGAATTCACAGCACACCAGCTTTTTGGGTTTGCCTTCATTGTGATGAAGCTTCATGTGGGTGCTCAGGCTCCCAGAATGGATGTAYGCCTTCCGGCAGATCCTGCAGCTGTATGGCCGCCTGCTCGTGTGCGTGTTCATGTGGTCCTGGAGATGGTGCTTAAACTGGAACGTATGGCTGCAAACATGACATCTGTGCAGCGGCTTAGGGATGCCCGAACACATATTTCTACTTAGATCACTTGATTTAGCTGATGGACCATCACTGTGCTTGGAACTTAAACATTTATTGCTGAGTGAACCATTTAAAAATGAGTCTTGCTGGAAGTGGTCATCAGACAGTGTCCCCGCGATTGCTGCAGGAGGCAGCGGCGCAAGCGCCTGCACAACCACCACTGGTTTTGGTCTGATACTACGGTATTTTTTTACTGTTTCTGCTTTATTGTCTTTAGGTGCCTGAGGATCAACCTTCGCCCTCTCTCTTCCTTCTCTAAATTTATTAATGATGCATTTCCTTCGCTTGGCCTGAAAAGCCAATAAATCATCYGGGGCTCTTTTTTTTCTACCTCTTCTTTTAGAGGTTGCACTGTTCAATTTTTTAAGACTGTCGACATCCACTTTACTGGATGGAGACAAGGTATTTTCTCGAATGGTTTGTCTGGGGACTTGTGTAATTGACATGGCTAATTGCTTATCAAAGGCTTTGGTTTTCATCAAAGCTGGTATCTTTTCACATTCAGATTTTAGTGAATGACCAGATATATCTGTAACATTAGTGTTCTGTTTAGATTTACAGAACACCGAATTTTTCATCCTTGAGTAAGGCAAAATAGGAAGTTTTCCTTTTGGTGCTGATGGAGTCATCTGAATTGTACTGCCGAAAACTGCTGGTGACAAGACAGCAACAGGATTTGCAGAACTTGTGGGTTTTTCCTTTAGTTTCTCAGATGTCAGGAGTGACTCTCTTGAAGTTTCCGATGCTGTCTTCACAGAGCGTAGACTTCTTTTCTTGGGATTAGTTGCACTTGCTGGCTTGGATAGAGGGTCTTCAACTACAGATGGTCCAGAAATATTATTGCTAGCAATTTCAGTTTTGTTCATTGAAGAAGATCCAGATTCCACACAATTGCTTTTATTTACTGATGTGGCAACTCCAATTTCAGCTGAGTCACAGTCTGTTAGCATCCCTTGCTCAGCTGAATCTGAACTGGAATGAGCTTCAGGACAGTCTTCAGTTAGAGTAGTCATGGGGGAAGTCTGTGATGAGATCAATGCTTTGGTAGGAATCTTTTTGCGTGCACTCAAACCAGAGAYTTGTGTTCTTTTCTTGTCACTCAGCAATTTCTTTCTTACAGATTGGTACCTAGGGATGGGAAGCTTCAGGTTTTCAGAAGGGGCCACAGATGAGCGCTGGACCTGCTGCGTTAGGGCAGGTGCAACACAGGGCACAGCCAACAGGGAAAATGTCCCCTTGTGAGCAGCCACCTGCATGACAGCGTAGTTCTGAGCTGGCATCACCAGTGGCTTAGAACCTGAAGCTGTAATTGATGTAATTGGCTCAGGCAAAGATGACTGAAGACAAGAAACCACTCCGGATGTTAACATTTTCGGTACCATTTTTGGAGCAATGGTCCTAAACTGACTTTTCTTCTKGAAACTTTGTATTATATCCGAAGGGGATTTCTGTTTATCTGTAAGAATAACATAACAAAGATGTAATATGATACATGGTATTTTTAAACAATTACTCTCTCAGAAATAGAACTGCTTACAAAGGATACTATTACACACAAACTTAGTAGAAACGTTTAGTCATTTAAATGACCACCAAATTAAATTTAGAATTGTGAAAATTTCATAGACAAAAGTACTGTCCGAAGCAACATGCTTGAACACAGATAATAGAAAAACTCCTCTTAATCCAATATTAAATGGATGTTTCATTTGAGRTTAGAATCTACACAACGCTTCAGAACAAATCCGCCCATAAGCCTCCTCAGTCCTGGAAGAGCTGCAGTAGCCTTCTGGAAATATTCTGATGGAAAAACAGGGACAGAGTTTAAGCTCCATGATAGAACTTCTCTGAGCACCTGCTCTGATCATGTCTCTCAAACAGAATCATGTTATYTTTCAGAGTTTCTCTACCATTTAGAATTTTTGAGTTTTATCACATATGGACCAGAGTTTGGCTGATGAAGTCTTAAAAAAATTACTGCTACAAAACATGCAAGTGATGTATAATAAAATCAAAGTGGACTTGAAAGAATGCATACTATTGTTAAATACTCAATCACAAAATTAACTTATGCGCCACTAATGCACAATAGAACTACTGCAGTAAATTATTTAAACTACTGTAGTAAGTTATTTTCCTGAAAAATGCAATTTCTCAAGGTTATATCACAATTCCTTCCTGTTTCTATTTGTGTTTATAAAAGTCACAAATGTTTTTAGCAAAGAAGAATGTGACGATAATTAAAACAAACAAAAGGAAAAGGACAAAATTCATATGCTATCATATGGATTCGATAGCAAAGACATCTGCTGGCCTTTCAGAATCTGTAGAAAAGGATTTGATACATAGTTAATTGTACCACTACCATTTCACCTATCAGTCTCAACACCCACWCCCAAATTCAATTACTGACACTTCCAGTTCTCAAAACCTGGGATAGGTTTCCTGGAAAAAAGGAAATCCCAAGCATTCAAAATTCAGCTAAAAAGATCCCAGGCAGAAAGGGAATACATGAAAGGAAATGCTGGAACCTTGAAATATAATCATAAGGTAATTCCATGGAAAAGTTTTCATTCCTTGCCATTTTAAAGACTTGTATTACAAATGCATTTATAGGTGATTCCAGACTTTAAAAGGTAACTGTGAGTTATTACCAACACTGAAAACTCCAGTAAATTTATCTTGATCCTGGATGTTCTTCTCAGACGTCACACTTCGCAACAAGTGCTGCAAACTACAGACCTCTCACGTTTCATGACCACAACTCCGGGACAGATACATATGTATATTCATGGCATGCACATGTGCATTAAAGCCACTGCCTTCAGGACATGCTGGATTCACTGAGCAATCACATATAAACTGTACAGTTCATATGCAGTAGGTCTGATGGTTTCCAAAACTCTTTGATCAGCACATTCATAGAGCAATAACTATGCAGGGCATAAGCCTTTGATCCTTTTATTGCCCTCTACTGAATCAAACCCCAAGTCCATTATTATACCTCCTTTATCCTCCAATTAAGTTAAACTACTGGGCACCACCGAATCTTTCTTTCTGCTCAATGTCTGTATAGACATTCTGAATTTCTAGACATTCTGTGCAGACTGAGGGACTGTGCATATGGAAATCCTACACAAATATTGAGATCCCTGCACACAGGGATAAGTACAGGCCTAGCGAATTTGTGCAACCTGGAAAGAGCAGAAATATGGTATGTTTAAAACTGCTTGCCTAGAGCAGTTTTTATTCTCAATTTTTAGTTTCTACAATCTAGTCACTAAACATATAGAAACCTTCACATTTTCAGCTGCTAAGATTTCTACTAGTACTCAGATGATKATTTGTTTCATGCAGGTATCTTCTTGCTGTTGCTTTTGAATAAACAATTTTTGTACTTCTGAGAAGAATAATACAATTATATAAAGTATTGTAAACACTAACCAAACTAGTCCTGAACTTCAATGATAGTTACAGGTCAAACTGTAGAGCTTTAATACAGCAGATGACAGAATAAGTGTACTTTCCTTTCAGGAGACAGTCAGTTCTTATTTCCCCAGATTATGCTTGCCATACACTGACAATAAAGATTTTGTCCCAATCAGCAGCTATTCTGCTTGCSACAATGCTCAACACGAAGCTGTTTCCATTCTCTCTCATTTCTCTTGTTMCTCTCCCTTTTCGTTTCAACATTTCATTCATTTTCATTTTAGGAAAGTCAGCATTTCAGCAGACTGCTACCTGTGCTACTCCAAGTTACAAGGCACCCACTCTTCAACCAACAGTAACAAGAAAAGGTGGAGGTTTTGTTGTGGACATGCCACCTCTACAAAATTGCAAAAATGTAAGCCAGAAAAACAAGTTTAATTTAAGGTTAAGAGGAAATATTTGTAGAGATAATRTATGGCACTAGCTGTAAAAAGAACCATATGTTTCTCAAATGCATTCACTTGCCTAATGCAAAATTAAGCAGCAAAATCACTTTTCTATAACGAAAGCATCTCCACATATTTTCTCAGCATTCCACAGGAGAGTGTTACCTCTAGAAGCCAAGACCTTAATCAAACATAGAATGCTCTTTGAAACAAGGTCTGTTTAAGTCAATATACTTCTTATGCAGTTAACACAATACTAAGGATTGATGTAATTGTTCAAGAAATTATTTTTGTACAACCACTTTTTCCAGCTAGTGTAATTTTATCATAAATAAGTTTTCCAGCAAGCTATGTTTGGTACCAGCCTTCAGTACAACTTATTTTTTTCCTTCTTTTTCCTCACAAGTTTACACTGTACATTTTAGTGCAGAAATATTCATTGCAGTGCTTGTGATAAGCAAAGGATACTCAACTCTGCATTTCCCTTTCCTCCAACACAGCTTCTGCAGTTAAGCTGCTTAGCCAGTGCCTAAATATAGAGAAGGGCTGGATGCAGACTAGCTGTCTGWTGGTGCCTCAGACTCAGTTAACATTCAGCCTGCAGACTGGGAAAGCTAACTGGAARAACTGGTGGAAAACTATTCAGCACCTTGAATCAGGGGAGAGCAGCCAGTCAATAGACTGGTTCTGCTGACCCCAACCAGAGTGTGCAAATAACACCAGTGACCAAAATTCTGTTTTCCATTTATAGCTGGTAAAAAGTTTCAACAACCTCCTTTGCACACAGATAGAGCTATATCAATTCATGTCTTCACCACATGGAAGGACTTGGATATGCTCTGGCAGTCTAACTTGTGCAAAGTCTGCTTGGAAACCTAATATGCATCTTTCAGGGGCACTCCATTTCTTCCAAATTATTTCTGTCTCTGATTTAAAGGACTAATTTTGACCTGTCAGCTGCCAGCTGACCTCAGAAAAAGCGTCTGTGCCTATGCAATCCCAGAAAGTCTTTCACTAAGAAGGGGAAGTTTCTTTAAGGGAGGCTCTGCAATGGCGTTTGTGAAGACGGCCCTTCATTTTAGACATTCTTTCTACAAGCCAGACTGCAGATCCTTCACTGGAAGGCAACTGTTTTTATACTTCATTTTTTTATTAATAAAAAAGGAAATTAATGAAAACATTAGACTTAATATCAGAAGGACATGAAGCCGATTTTTAACTGCTGTGTCCTCAATCTTTTAGATGGCTGTGGAATTGAGGTAATAAGTTGACAAATAATTACACACAAGGCTAAATCAAATGCAGTTCAACTTACTTTAAAAACCCATTTACTTTAAAAATCTCTGTTAAAARCTTAATGGTTACCATGCTAGGACCTGCAAGATTCAAATCACTCAGAAACTTGCAGGATGTCAAAAGCTTTCCTCCCTTCTAAATAACCTTAAAATTGTAYAGAAGTGGACAGTGACACACCAATACAAAAATCAATGATGCATCAAAGTCTCTGAAAGAGCCAGGCTGAGAAGAGTCCTCTAGAGGAAACAGTCTTCCATGTGTTGCTGCTTCTTCATGGCTCCAGTTCCTTCCCAAGTCATCCAAGTTTGGTCTACTCCAGCCTAAACTGCTTTATTTTTTGTCCTTCTTTTGGTTTGYTCCCTATGTAAAGCACACAACACAGCTCGAACTCAGACACTGCGAAAAGCATCAGAAGAAATTTAATTTTCAGCACTATCTTGTCTTTTTTGGAAATACCCACCAAATAGCCACCACAGAAACCACTGAGTAACAGCCTTCATTTGTTAAATCATCCTTGTAGGTCCACCTCAGTTGTGCAACAGTGTATTTAATTTGTGTATGAACAGACATATGAGAGAAAAGAATACAAAAAAAAAGGATCAAAGATGAAGATTAGTGAATATCCAATGCATATTAACACTGCTGAGTCTTTTGCTGACTTTGAAAGGAAGAGTATCTGTTCTGTGGGAAAGAAAAATGCACAGCTTTCCAACACACAACATTAGATCCTTTTCTGCCAATGATAGTTAATCATTCATTTTGCCAAATCTCCATACACACTAAATACCTGTGGATACAGTCTTTCCAGCACAAGTTTCTTGCTTTTGCTGACCCAGCATACTTTGTTGGACACAATGTTTCTCTGCAGGATTAGCATGCAAAAAAACACCACCTGCAAAAGTGCTTCAGTCAGTTATAAATAGATCTCAGAACAAAAAAAAAAAAAAAAAAAAAAAAAAAAAAAAAAAAAAAAAAAAAAACAAAGCAACCAAACCCCCAAAACCAACAAAACCCAGAAAAAGACAATATAAAATGACAATAATAAAACATTAACTTCCAGTAAGAAAACTACTGCTTCTTGGTCTTTGCAATTTTTTCTCCTCAAAATACCTTTTAAAATCTAATGTATTACATGCCAAATGCAAGGTGATAGCATAATAATTGAGTAAAGCTAGTTAATGTGGCAAACAGATGGGATGGTTTAGCTTCAGTGTCATGGCAGACAGTCAACAGCAGCAAAACAAAACACTTCAAAAAATGAAGATTCAATAGCTTTACAGAGGAGTTTAAATACAGGGGCCAAATTCTGTGCTCATTTACACTTTCCATAATTCTGTGTAAATACACTGCAAATATTATAGAAAACAGAATTTGGACTGCGGTGTTCAAAACCAGTTTGGGTCACACTTGTAGAAAGATCACTAATAAAGTCTACAAACCATGAGTGTCCAGCTCTATACATTATAGCAATTAATTTACAGTTGTTTCTACCTTTTCTAATAACTACCCRGGTGGAATGTTCTGGTCTGGGTATTTGCATCAGATAATTTTCTAAAATTAATTTCCACAGAAAATACCAGCCATTCTCAGTATGCCTGGAGGAAAAAAAAAATCTAGTAACACATCTGTGCCTTGGGTGAAGATCTTGATATGTGACACAGCAATGTTTCTTTGATCTGTGAAAAGCTGCCCAAATTAGGCAAAGCTGTAGACTCTGGGCCTGTGTTCAATAGATACTTCAAGCGCAAACTTTTCCAATGATTACATTCTATTGAATGTGCTCCTGCTTCAGGTTGGGCTGGATTTTCCCTGAACTACAGCTTTAGGTCCAAGCACCCAAACTGGAACGAGGAAATGGCCTCTCCTTACCCCTGCAGAGCTGACRGTGTGGAAGAAAAGCACCGGTATACACACGGCAAGCAGAAAAAGGACAAGACTGGAAATGAGACTTGAAAAGTGTCCAGGCCAAAGAGTCAGGGTGGAATATAGGAATTAAATGCGGACTTAAGACAGCAAACCATCATTACATGTGATGTGGAAAGGAGATGCATTTAAACCAAAAGAGGAATCTCACATTTCTTACCTTTTCAGTACTTGATTTTTTAAAGAGTATTATAATTATGTTTACATAAAAGTGCTTTTGTGCAATTTAAACTAGCTCAGAAAAATAAACTAATATAACTAAATATTTTAATGCAAGATTGGAAATTCTCTGTTGGTCATTCACAAAAAAATTAAGATATCGAATGTGCAAATACATTCAGAAAATTTATTCTCATATACCTCAGGAGGAACAAGACAAAAATTATTTCTGAAAATTCTAGAAGCTTTAAACTGTATCTTTAAAACAATATGTAATTAAATCTGATTGGAGCATAAATGTGATTTGGTAGTTGTGCAATAAGCATTTTATAATTAATAAAGGTCTTCCTTGCCATCTGTGCAAGTTTATTATTTTAAAGGATTAGGATTATAGTGCATTTCAAGAACTTCTGTGAGCAYGAGGATGTGTCCTGCATTCCTTAAATGGTCTCCAAAAGACTCTTCTTAGCAAAAGAGCACATTGCAATAACAAAGGTACCTATTTTTTTTACATYAAGGAGGATGTTCAACATTAAAATTTCTAATGGCATTTTTCAGTGTGGGAACAAGCTAAAACTATTTTTAGCACAAACTGTCACCTTGCAGAGGTAGGTCACACAGTAACCCAAGATCATGAGTTTGTATTTAGAGAAGTTCTTCAGTTTTCTCTCTAATTCAGTCTTTTGGTTTTGCCTGAAACATCCTTTCTGCACTATTAACCATGTATTGATACATGCCAAAGTTTATACAGATCTAATATAACTTAAGAAAAAAAATAAATTAGATTACGCTACTTTTTCCACTTCCAGAATTGCTTTCCTTTGTTGTTTGAAAGTATTCACAGGAGAGGCCTTTGACAGGGTCCTCCTCAACACTCTTCTCTGAACTGGAGGTGAAAACTCTATTGATAGATGGGCTATTGGATGGATAAGGAATTGGCTGGATGGTTACTGCTAGATGGTAGTGGAACAGCTCAATGTCCATATGGAGACTGGTGACAAGTGGTGTCCCTTGGGTCTGTATTGGGACCAGTGCTGTTCCACAGCTCCATCAGTGACACRGACAGTGGGATCGAGTGCACCCTCAGCAAGTTTGCAGGCAGAACCAAGCTGGGAGGTGCAGCTGACACACCTGAAGGATGGGATGGCTGAGGGACCTGCAAAGACCAGGAAGCTGGCCCATGGGAACCCCATGAGTTCCTGCACGTGGGTCAGGACAGTCCCTGGTATCAATATAGGCTGGAGCTAAAGTGATTCAAAGCAGCTCTGCCAAGAACTTGGGGGTACTGGTGGATGAAAAAATGARTGTGAGCTGGAAATGTGCACTCGCAGCCCAGAGAGCCAACGGCATCTCAGGCTTCATCCAAAGCCGGGTGGACAGCAGGGGAGGGAGGGGATTCTGCTCCTCTGCTCTGCTGAGACCCACCCAGAGTTCTGTGTCCAGCTCTGGGGCCCTCAGCTCAGGAAAGAGATGTACTTGCTGGAGCAGCTCCACAGTAGGGGCACAAAAATGATCAGAAGGATGGAATACCTCTTACACAAGGAAAGGCTGAGAGAGAGCCTCAGTCCTCCTCAGTCTGGAGGAGGTTCCAAGAAGACCTGACTGGGGCCTTACAAAACYTGAAAGAGGCTCAAAAGAAAGATGTGACACTTATTTTACAGTGTTAGCAGAAACCAGTCAAAGCAAAATGGCTTTAAATTAGAAGAAAGTAGATTCAGGCTAGATATAAAGAAGAAATTTTCTATCTGCCCATCAATCTCACCTGCACCTTAGCTTCAGTATCTGTCCCCAGAGAAAAGTATAACATAAAGAATACCCATACAAAAACAGACCTGTTAAACAAAACTCAACACATTGAGAAATTTAGTCACTATATTAGCAGCATTAGCAACAGTAATGCTTAAGATGTATTTTTTATTTTCCATAGATTAGATTTCATATCATCCCAACAAAGATGATAGCCTTCAAATGTGTATGAAATATTATTTCTATGAGAAGTAACAAGCGGCCATCAGCTTTGAGGTAATCTTTTTGAGTTGTGACCTGAAATGCATTAGTCACACATAGGTAAATCACTATTCAAAAGCAACTTGCTATACACTATGTGGGCAATGCATGGCTTAACACAACCACCTATTAAAAAAAAACCTTCTTTGTGCTACTGTATAAAGGAAGAAAGTCTTCAAAGTCCTTCTTAAGACTCAAAATACATATACACAAGAGATTTTTAGACACTTTTACAGTGAATTTAAAATACATGTATTAGCAGATCTACATGCTTTTTTAAYACCTCTCATGCAGTGTTGGTGAACTTTAAAAGCTTTCCATTTTTTTGAAGGCACAGTCTTTCAAGTTATAAGCTACTCATTTCATATTAAGGTCAACAAAATTAATAGGTCTTAAGCAGATCAAAATATTTTCATATTAAAAAATGAAAACTGGCATAAAGAAAGCTAGACATAAAGCATCTGTAATTACTAATAACTTTTTCCTCCTTTACAGCTGAAGAAATCATACACAGCTTTTCTCACTATGGCAATCTAAGAACTAAGGGCTCAAAATGGTCCTGGCCTCTGCAACCACACAATTTCTTAATTTCTTTTTAAGCACAGAACCTCTGAGAAACACTGTTAGATACATCATTGAGGACTGTATTTCAGCTTCTTTATGYCTCTGGTAGTTTCAGCAGCCAACCTTGTCAGCCTGCAAGTGAGCATTATTTAGACACCTTGGTGCTCTGACAGGATACAATTGAGTAGAATGGAAATTATTTTGGTATCATTGCAAATCCAGCGGTTATCTTTGTTGGTTTTGCCCAGTCATTCTGTTCCACAGAGGATACCGTCCCTGAAGATTTGCAAAGCAAGGCTGCAGTGATGCAGCCACTTGGGGGAACTAATTGTTCAGAAAACAGTTGAAGGGACATGATGGAAACACTGGTCATAAACTGTTAATTCATAACCCCCCAAGAGCACTGCAAATTTAAATTAGGTGCTTCAGAAAGTGGGAATAAACACCTGTAATAGGATTTTTTAAAATTCCTGGGAGAGTTGCCAGTTGAAATTTCTTTTAGAGAGCTTCAGGAAAGATACAGACCTAAACAGTAATTCATCCATTGTTGAAAGTCAATATGAAGTCATTTTTAAAGGGTTTATCAAGATTAAATCAACTTGGACAAAATCTCGATATATCTAACGTAAGTGGTAATCAATGGACTTATTTTTTTTTTAAGTATAGGAAGCAGTAATGACCAAGTCTACTAAAAAAATGAAGGCAGAACTCTTCAGAAACTATACAGCATAAAAAAGTCAAGTAGAACCATTTTATTAATAAATCATAAAATATTTTCTGATTAGATTTTTGCTCTCCTTTCAAAAAAGAAAACAAACCTACATCATACCGAGTTCAACCCTCTTTGGGACAGAAAACATGTATGTCTCACTTCAGTAAGGGAATTAACGCCTCTCACTCCCAAATGATAATTTTTTTGCAAATTCTGACATGCAAATAGAGAACACAGCAAAAAACTAAAAGTTTTATTCCCGCTAAAGAGTCATTGTTTTTGTGAAAATTGTTTTGGTGAAAATCAGTGCACTTTTTTCTAAAGAAGGACTGTGTGCAAGAGAAAACAATTAATTTGCCACTTTGGCTCAATACAGCAATTATATTTTACTTGAAGCATTAAAAACATCTGCATGGTGACTTCTGTGGTACAAACCGCAAAAATGTTCCCTCATGAACAGAGGATCAGAAGACTGTCAGTCGTGGCTTGGCCTATTATGAGTCTTGTGTTATAAAATATACACGAAGTTCATCACTCCCCAAAGAAAGGGCCAGAACAATTGTTAAACTTTGAAGACAGTTGGAGTGTATTTTCTGGGGGATTTTCWTAAGTGGTCTAAGTTTTGAATGCAGAATCCCTATCTAAGGTTTTACTTGCTCTAGTTGTGCCCCTTTTTCTTTCTTTACGGGCTAGATTTCTTCAGAAAAAAAGACCCTGATTCTGGCTGAGATATGCAAAACATTGCTACCTATAGTTAATTCCACTAAAGATTAAAACAAAAATAAAGTATCTCCACAGTGCTTCAAGTAGATATATTTTTTCAAAGACAGACACAGATCTGTATAGCRTAAGAAAACTAATTACATCTTCTGAAATACTATGGTCCTGGCTAGGCTAGTTTTCAGAACATACAAAATTATCGCTTGCAGCTGAACTTGAACACAGCTAGGCCTTACCGGCAGTAGGATGCAGCAGAAAACAAATTAAATTACAGTATCTGTCTGGTTTTTCCTCCTCCAGTGCATAATTACAATTATTTGCAGCGCTTATTGGCATTGCTGGCTCACCCATGCCAGTCACCGTGCCGTTTAAAGGCAGCACTGGCTCTCCAGAGAGGGATATGCTGTAAAGGAATTAAGGAATASGCTGCCGAGAGGCGATAATGTACCAGCAAAGCGGGCAGCGCTGCCAGCAAAGGGCGTGGAAGCGGGAACGCGGTCACCATGAACGCAGGCCAGAGACCATAGTGTGCCGCATTGCCCGGCCACTCTGACGAGCTCCGGTGTCCGGGCAGACAAAGGAGCCCCGGSAGCGGAGCCCAGCAGAGGGAGTCGCTGCCCGCCCCGCTCGGGGCCAGCCCGGCTCCGAGCCGCGGATCACCGCACTGACCTGCGAACAACACGCAGGCTGTTCGATTCGCCTCATGACTCTGTCATGCTGAATACGGCTTATCCTGGAAAACCCCCCAAGTCAAGGAGTCAGATACAGCACCTTACCCAACCTCCGAACAACTTCGTGAGGAGTTACCTTGGCATTTCAAAACATTCTGCCTCTGCAAACTTTTCAGTCAATCTGATGTTTTGCATAACTTGAGAACATCTTAAAGCAAAGCAATTGAGACTTTCTGTTTAAAAGTAATTACTTCTATTAAACTATTTAGCATCTTCTATAACTGCAATAAAACTATCGTGCCTGAGATTATAAAAAAACATCCTTTACTTTCATGTTAATCTAGTTAGTCTCYGAAATGGCATATCCATGTTACTAACATGCCGGTATTCACACTAGATGTTCTTCTTTCAGTAGACATATGTAAACAAAGCACTGTTACCAACATTTTCCCATCCCAAGGAATACCCTGAAACCTTTGTCAAACTTTCTCGCTTTCATCATTGCTCAGCTCATCACACAAACCATCTGCATAAATAAAGATGCAAGCATCTGCTGTATGGCAAATGGTCTCAGGGGCAGATGTTTTTATCCTTGCATTCATGTCACTGGCTTGGATACATTATTTGAACAGATGTACACAATCTGAAAGTGTCGTGTCCCACAGTGAAACGTCTCCAACTGCTTTCTATCAAACTACATAAATGCTATTTGCACCTGCATTTATRTTAATGATATAAAGGCAGCAGGGGTTCCAGCAAAGTGAGAGCTGATGCTAAGAAGCACATTTACAAGACTAATGGAAGTTTGAGATCTCCCAGCACCAAATACTGATACAAAATGTACAGAACCACACTTGACCTATGATTTTAAAAAAATCAAACATACTCAAAGAGCAAAACTATTACTTTAGCATGTGATATGCTTTTCCAATGTATATTTTAAAAGAACAGAAACTATTAGACAAATAAACCAGGATAGACTTCTTATATTTGCAAAGTATTTGTACCAGACACAATTCTTTCATGTTAGTCATTTAACAAAAACATTCTATAAATCTGATAATGCCAACAGTATTTCAGTTCAGTAAGGCATTATGCTATTGTATGTGTAATGGAGCATTATAAAAAATAACAATACTTGCTCAACAGTAAATATTTAACATGACTGTGAATGGTAGAATATAATGCTTCAATGATTGTTRTCATATGATGTCATATCAATGAAATGATAATTTAGTAATTCTGAGGAAAAAATAAAATCTGACAAGTTAGATACTTATCATTATTCAGAAAARTGCATGTGTTTGAACATGGTGTTACAATTGCTTGCTACATAAAAGAAAGTCACCCTTTTTATAAAATATTTTAAACTGAGAAAAATACAGATGTCTTGAAGGAGTACAGATTAAATTACAGAACACCTGCTATTACATGACAAATGGCAGTAGTGAAGGGTTTAGCTGYCACTCAAAGAACTTGCACTAATCATTACTTCCAACACTTAACTGAGAAATAACAAGCACACTCAGAGTACAGAAACACTGACACTTGCCGCACTGAATGTAACTGATGGATAGCTTCCATTTCCAATATAATCTATTTTCAAAAGTTTTATTTGGAAAAAATGTACCAACATTAGAATTGTACATAAATCATCATAAATTACTAATACTCTCCATATTTTTGAAGTGCTACATTTAAGAAAAAAGTGGTATTGATATAAAGACAAAAAGGTATCATAATAAAAAATACACTGAGACTAGTATATTTGTAGACTGTCATCATTTCACAGTGATACAGGTCCTGGTCATGATCTAGGGAGGCCTGCAGAAAGATCTCAACAAATGAGAGATCTGAGCAATCACCAATCACATGAAGTTCAACAAGGCAAAGTGCTGGGTTCTGCACATGGGATGGGGCAACCCTGGGTGTACAGACAGGGRAATGAGAGGCTGGAGAGCAGKGCCATGGAAAGGGAGCTGGGGGTTCCTGGTCAATGGCAAGTTGAACATGAGCCAGCAGTGCCCTGGCAGCCAGGAGGGCCTCAAGGACAGCATCRCCASCCGGGCAARGGAGGGGAYTGTCCCGCTCTGCTCTGACCTGGGGCGGCCCGTGTGCAGTTTTGGRCACCACAATGTAGRAAGGATATAAAGCTGTTAGAAACTGTAAAAAGCAGGGCCACACAGTGTAAAGATGCAGAAGGGCCTAGAAAGGAAGCCCCGTGAGGAGCAGCTGAGGTCACTTGGGCTGTTCAGCCTGGAGAAGAGGAGACTGAAGGGAGACCTCACTGCAGTTACCACTTCCTCATGAGAGGAAGAGGAGGGGCAGACACTGATCTCTCCTCTGTGGTGCCCAGAGGCAGGACCTGAGGGAATGGCCTGAAGTTGTGTCAGGGGAGGTTTACGTTGGATATTAGGAAAAGATTTTTGCCCAGAGGGTGTCTGGGCACTGGAACAGGCTCCCCAGGGAAGTGGTCACAGCACCAAGCCTGATGGAATACAAGAAGCACGTGGACAAGGCTCTCAGGCTCGTGGTGTGAGTGGGATGGCACCATGCAGGGCTGGGAGTTGGACTCTGTGATCCTTGTGGGCCCMTTCCAGCTCAGACTATTCTGTGATTCTGTGACTTCTGACATGGAAGCTCCCTTTGAAGTTTACCATTCCCTCTGGGTACAAGCTGATAACAGGATACTGACTGGAATGGATTTTGATTTTGGGGAAAAGAGTAAAAGCCTTCCAAAAAAACCTCAAAACACATGATTAATCAATTTGAACTTTGCAAACAGCTTCACAGTCTRTATTCTCCTACTACGATTCAGAAATGGCTTTAATATAAGACTATAACCAGTGTCAAATTCCTATTACTTAAAGGAAAAAATAAATTAATGCTTCTAAATATTAGAATTGAGTACTTCAGTCATAAGCATAGGAATGTAGAGCACACTCTGGGGTGGACAGCTTTAYCCAGCAGTAAGTACTGTCTTCCTTGAAAGAATAGTCCCAGGAGACACAGAACMCATCAACTAAGATCAATTTGCATGACACGCTTCTGGAACAGCTTCCTCAGAATTATTACAGCATCATAAAAATACTCAGTCTTCACTAAACAGGTAAAGTATAAACTTACATGACAGTAAAAGCTCAAGGCTTCAAATTAAGTAATATATAGCGCTTTTCTCAATTAACGTAAGTACTAACAATGGAAACTTAACTGACAACCAGCAGTGRTTCTGAAAGGTCCATTAGAGCTGATGTCATATCCATCAAACATTCACTCACATTTAAGTATCATTTAAAATGACATTCATGCTAAAAATCATATTYAAACATCAGTATTGTGACACAGATCAAAAGGGAAAGGAAACTGAYATTACAGCTATACATTTAGAAGCATGGGAATACACAAATAGCCTTAACAGAGGGAAAAAAATTCAAGACATTAACCCTACTGAAATCTAAATCAAATGAAAGACAACTTTTGAGGAGACARCAGAGAAGAAAGAATTAAACATAAAAATATTAGTAAGGATGGGAACGCTGGAGAAAAGGCATTTTAAAAAATCTAAGTTAATGTTTATTTTCCTGTCTCTGCTACTTTTGTAGCATAATTTGCAGATAGATTTGACCCCATTTAATATGGGGGTCAAATAAAGCAAGGATTTTCAAATATATGAGGATTTAAAAAGAATTTTAATAAAAACTGAAAACTTAATTCTGCTGAATCAAACAAGAAGCAGATTTATGCATTTCAAGTTTCAACTACAGGTGTTAACAGTAATTAGCAATGCCCTAAAGAAGAAAACTGTTTTAGCTATTGAAATTGTTTAAAGTGATAAATGCTGCAGTAGTGCTTTTTTTTTTCAAATCATACTACACCAGAATACCAGACACAAGTAATACAGTGATCAAAGATGAGATTTCTTCCACATTTTAMATCACAAGCATCTAATTTCTAAAAGAAGTATAGAAAACATACTATACCTGCAGAAACTGTTAACGGATTCTGCATTATGCYCTTTAACAGTTACGACAATGTTCCTAGAAAGAAATACAGATACTTAGAAGCTCTGATAATTTTTTTTAGAAACTAACAAAAAATGAACAGGATAATGGCAATAGTTTCCAGACTTGTATTTCAGAATGGATCCCAGTATGTCCACAGCTCTCACGAAAACAACACCAGAGTTTTAAACCAAGGGCTTCTTTGGACCCCTATATGTRCTCTCCATATTTCAACACTGTGTACTACTAACTTAGGCTTGTTGTAATTAAATATCCCTCTTAAAGCCAGGAAAGAGGATAGTCATGAATCCCAATGTGACAAGGCAGTCTGAAGAATCATAGAGAAGGTTCCCTTCAAACACATGGACCTGTCGGAGAGGATCCAGAGGAGAGTCTCCACRCTGATCACAGGGCTGAAGCACCTCTTTATGAAGACAGGCCAAGAGAGCTGGGGCTGATCAGCCTGGATAAGAGAAGGATCCAGGGAGACTGTAAAGCACCTTGCAGTACCTAAAGGCAGCCCACAGGAAAGCTGGAGAGGACTTTTTACAAGGGTGTGTACCGATACGACATGGGGTAATGGCTTTAAACTGAAAGAGGATAGGTTTASATTAGATACTAGGAAGAAATTCTTTACTGTGAGGGTGGTGAGGCACTGGAACAGTATTCCCAGGGAAGCTGTGAATGCCCCATCCCTGGAAGCYTACAAGGCCAGGTTGGATACAGCTTTGAGCAACCTGGTCTAGTGGAAGGTTCCCTGCCTATGGTGGGGCAGTAGAAACTAGGTGGCCCTTAAGACCCCTTCCAACCCCAACCCTTCTGYGATTCTGTGTGATTGCATGGAYCCCAYATAACTGTCTGACCAGCAGAATCTTCCATGGATGCTAAAGGAAGGAACTAGCTTGCTCTTGTGAACCAAACCTTACACTACCATCTCTTCTGAGAGAATCTTATGTAACCAATATGCCAAACATGCACTCAAGACCCATCTTCTGAGCACATGAAGGACCAAAGACTAGTTATGAAGGACCAAAGACTAGTTTTTGTTAAATACAGAAATACATAGGACAAATACTGATGCAATTACCTAACAAAATAAGCCTGGAATACATTTCTTTACTATCATGCAATCGACTCTCAAAAAGCAATGGTGAGGTTTTGGGAAGGAGATGGTTCTGCAGGTAGAGGTAAATTAAAAAAGAGGCAAAACAATTCAATTTTCAAGCTCAACACCAAAACAAAAACGAACATTCAGTGTGGCTGCTGTGAGGAGACCTGTCACGCAGCAAACAGGGGAGGCTTTTTGGTACCTGAATCTTCTGTGCTGAGCCATACRTAACAAGCAGCTCTGGTACATTATCTCTGGCAGAGGTTTGCTGATGCCCATCAGCAGAGCCCTGACTGCCTCAAAGAGCCTCTGTCCGTGGTGCTTAAGCAGCCAACCCCCCGAGCTGTCAGAGCCAGCACACAAACACACATCGGTTCATCTCAATGCAGTTTGACATCGTGGGAGCAYACAGACAACTCCCTCATCACATACAAGAACTGAACAGACCACATCAATGTAATTTCAGAATGGTGAGACTTCTAGAAATCAGCGTGGGTTTTCAACTTCTCAGTCACTCACACTGTAAGACATCCATCTTTAAGGTCTTATTGATTCAATAACAGCTTTTCAGAGAATGAGAATCAGAAGCTTTTCTTCCCCCTTAGTATTTCCAGCACCTCAAAACAGACTGAAGCATTTAAAGCAACACATATTCTTGYAAAAGCAATTAGAGAAATTATGTTTAAATAAAGATTTCCAAAATTACTATTCCAAAGTCACATTTTTTATGTTTGTGCGGCCTTTCCCTGTGTATGGGAGCATTAAATCTATAATTAAGATTTAATCTATAGCTATCTTCCATCTATAGCTACAAACTACTTTTAGAATTATAAGAAACCAGGCTTCAGGATACAGATCAACAATTCTTACAATACCATGTGGAAAYAGAAACTCCAGACAGTCTTCCAATGTTCTTCCCAGACATATTCACAAACCCTAACACTACAACACAAAACTGGGTCATATAAATCCAAACATTTTGTAGAGGCATCTCTGATTTGAATTCAACTTGAGCTGCCATAAGATAATGGTATTAACCTAGAAAATCCAGTGCTAATTTGACAGACAAGTACATTAATCACCTGCTCTTAATAATACTAATAATAAATTTTAGAGTATAGTCTCTCCAATCAATATTAATAATTTCCTTTATCAATTCATTAATAGTTTTTTCTTTGTTTTTGTTATATGAAATAACCTTTCACCACACTTTATGYTTGGAGATACATAATCAAGTAAYGTCCCTTTTTGGAAAAACTGAATAKCTCAAGATTCTGAAATCAGGACAAAATCTTCTTAACATCCCTTCAACTTTCTCTATCCATCGTTATGTGCATGGCAGTGTTAAAGCATGATTTCTTTGAATATATACACAGCTTACAAAACAAACCATAAACATTGTGCAAACTTGTCCTGTCTGTAATTTTCAAATACATCAACAGTGATACTGTCTTTTTGATCTTTTCTCTGACAGTTTCTGACACTTTTCTGCTAGGGTGTAATAACATGTTTAACAAATACTTACTATCTACACACATTTTATGCATGTCCCAAACAAAAAACACAGTCTTATCAAGAAGTTTTGTACTGTGCACAGATTCAAACTTCTAGAATTTGAAAGCTATAATATCCATATATATACATATATATTTATATATTTTATGTATAAATTTAAAAGTCAAACAACTTACGCCTGCCCTGAGCAGGTTTTATTGGTTTTTTTTCATTTCACTATAAAACTGGCTTGGTAGGGCTACTTCCCATAAAAAAAGATGCTGATGTTCAAAAAACCCCTAAGGTGAGAACTAAAATTACTAATTAAATTTTGCACTTCTTTTACACTCTTACATCCAGAAAAAAATTTAGGCTGCTCACCAACTAATAATTCAGTATGTTCTKATGTTTTTATTTAATACTGAGGAGACAAATGTTCTTTCACTTTTCCCWGGTTATACTTGAGTCCAATACTGGMTTTTTCCATATACTGGAGATKATATGGATTATTTCTATCTGGTAGTATCATAAATTATTCTCCACCTGAGAGCTAAATTTTAAAATTCTATATAAACTTAAAATTTGTTTTGCTCAGTTTATAACTCTACCATAAGACACTAAATAAAATCATTCAAGTCACAGTACTCCGGAACTCAAATTAGTTCTCTAGAAATCTGCTGCTGACTACTCAGAGATGAAAAGAAATCTATTACAAGAATTTCAGCTGAAGTGGAGTTGAAGTTGGACAGAATTAGAAAGTAAAATCTCTCTTAATGCCATAAAATATGCTCTATCATGCCTGTACTGTTCCTTATGTTACCACAGAATGAAAGGATAAATTTCATTATCCCTAAGAGGTAAAAATATCAAGTAGACTGGAAAAAAAWCCTATACTGTAACTTGGTCTTTAACAACCAAAGGAAGCAAGCATATACATGTAATAATTTAAAAGCAATTTTCACAGAAAGATACCCACAGGTCTTTTATATGAAACAGGTGTCCTGATAGACACACTGAATATGAATATCAGTTGAACCCAATTAACCTAATTTGATGCTTGTCCATACTAAGACATTTATCTTAGATGTTACACAAAATCCTTYAGGATATTACAGAGAAAGCGATAAATAGGCTGTAAAGGTTATGACATTAATTTTACTGTCATCCTCATGCTTAAGCAGACATCAAAACTAAAAACCTCGTCCTCTGGGAAGGAAGAACTATCTGAAAGTAATTATAGGACTTATTATCATAACAGTATTAAACTAGACCACTATGACCCTAACCAAATTTATTTTTGGTACCTTTTGTTAAAAGAACAAAGCTTCTCAATGACGACTGAACCTACTAATGCAGTGAACATTAGTTCAGGTACTGGAAGAAAGCATTAAATCAAATCTTGTAATTTCATATTAAGCTTAATTATGAATTTTAATTTAAAACTAAGCATGTAAAGAAGTGTTAGTCAAATGCTATGTAATTTAATTTCAGAAGGAAAACATCCAACTAAAAAGAAAAATTAAATACTTAGTACAGTTTAGAAAAGACATTCTTTTGACAGAAGCCCATGAAATGCCCATTTGTATTTCAAAAGCAATTTTATTCACTTCATTTTTTCACACCTGTTCTTTCTCATATGGTGCCATCTTGTAAATGAGTGTCATGCAAACATTACTTCCCATAATTTAGAAACTTTTCAACTGAAACCAAGTTCCCCAAGAAGCCTGAATATATTGAATTAGCATAGCTTCCAGGAAAGTTGGCAAAACCTTTTGTTATATAAAGGCCAAGTTACACTTGAAATAAAAGATTAAAACGCTGAAGCTTTGCAAATACAGAGAGGAAGATAAAAATGACAGACACAATGAYTGACTAGTGTAACACACAAAAGCATTTGTTCAAGCAAGTATATTTGCCAAAAGCCTGCAGAGCTTGGCTACTTTATAAAAATCAAGCACAAGGCATAAAGCCAATTTGTTTAAAAAATAAAAGCCCCTCCAAAATCCTAAACCCCAATAACTAAGCAATAGCTGATTTGCATTTCTGAAAACCTGCAAAGATATTCTGCATCTCACTAGTCACATCTTCAGTCTCAAATGTCTGTATTGTTCAACATTTTCTATTTTACATCGTATTTTCACACCAGGATTTCATCCTACATCACTAGATCCTTGTCTTCCTATTTTATATCCAAAGAATAGTCATGTAATCACAAACAACAGTGTGTGAAATTGCTCACTGCTAATGTTTCCATACTTAGATAATTCATCACGGAGAAATGTGTGTCCATGGCAGAATTCTTTTGGCTGAGCCCATTAGATGACTTCAGCAGAACCACAAAAAGAAACAGAACAGCACAAACCCAGCAGAACCCGAAACCCAGGCTATTTTTAAACTTTTGGTCATCCTGTGAGATGGACCAGTCTGAGCACAT